ATATATATATATATATATATATATATATATATATATATATATATATATAATGAGTTAAAAGTTAACAATATATATATATATATATAAAATGAGTTAAAAGGTTAACAAACAAATATATATATATATATATATATATATATATATATATATATATATATATATATATATATATATATATATAATGAGTTAAAAGTTGAGAAAGAACGATATACAACTGTTACAAATGATCATACTCCTACCCACAATTATTTCTAGACAGTAGGCTTTCAGAATACTTTGAAAAAAATCATCGCCTACCCATTAACTCTTAGGGTAAGACAATAAACCGGAAATACCTGATCTTTTTTCGCATAATGCCCCTTTCACAAGCATGTATAAATAGTCGAGCCAGTACCCAACACACATGGCCTGAAGATTGCGCTCAGGCATGAAACAGCTTACTCTCGATATTCACTTCAGTGTACACTTTTATCTATATCTATAATTATCAAAATGTGTGTGTCTGTGTGATCGGATGTTGTTTATGCATTTCCACAATTTTAATCCAATTTTAATGATTTTTTTTATTTGATAGATAACTCTTTAGTGACGGTTTTGAGTCCAAATTTTTGACGACAATGGCTCTCCACTACTTCCTGTCCATTATAACTTTCAGCAATGTTTTGCTATTTACTATCTGTTCTTGCATATATATCATTCATAAAAAACTTTCATAAAAATAAATAGTTTAAATTATTGCAATGATATTATTTATTATTATACATTCCCCCCCATTCAAATTGTTCCCCCCCCATTTGGGGATGTGCCTCAGTTGCACCCAAATGTTGTTACTAATATTAATTTTCGGGTGGTTTCACTTTAAACTTAAACTGCTCCAATTGAACGGCAAAAATTCCCAGTAATGAAACACCCAGTCAAAGTCGGGTTATAGGTTATATATATATATATATATATATATATATATATATATATATATATATGCATTATCCCGTTTATACCTAAAAACTATATTTTATCGTACATAGAAAACGCATATCATATGCTTTATGAAATCTCCCGAACATTTCAGTCCGGTAAATGTAATTAATACTGTTTATTTAAAAAAACAGAGCATTTAAATAAACTGTAACTATGAAAATAACGTATAAACAGAAAATATATTAAATAATTGTCGGATTTAATCCATTTCATAACATGTTGTCAATGTTTACGTTAAGGTACGTTTCGTGAGCAGATATGATCGTTCGGGAATGATCGTCGAAGATTCTTTGTTTTAAAACAGTAATTTGGACTTTGCTAAATAGACGCTTCTCTGTAGCCTAGTGGTATAGCACGTCAGATCAATTGACGTTTCCGTATAGGACACAGGTTCGATTCCTGCCGGTGAACGTATATTTTCTATGAAATTTATTGAACATTTAGGCCGGTAAACGTAATTAATACTATTTAAAAACCAGAGTATTAATAAATTGTATGTATTAAAAATAACGTATAAACATAAAATATATTAAATTATTGCCCGACTTAATCCATTTCATAATAATAATAATAATATATATATGTGTGTGTGTGTGTGTGTATAAATATATATATATATAATTATTTATATATTATATGCGCGGTACTTATCAGAAAGCGCTCAATGTCAGAGATTTGGTTGGATTGATGTGAGTTTGTGACCCTGGATTTCACGTGAAACCAGGGTCACAAACTCACATCAATCCAACCAAATATATATATATATATATATATATATATATATATATATATATATATATGTGTGTGTGTGTGTGTGAATTATTTCGCCAATACAAGGCGATAATACCACAAGTACACAGGTGGTTGCAGGGTGTGAGAGAAAATGAGAAGTCTATAGTGAGGAGAAAGGAGAATAGAGGAATAGGCTTTAGGAAGACAGAAGATGGCGATTGGCGCTGCATTTTAAATTCTTATAATTGTAGGTGGCAGGGAATTCCACAGGCGAGAGATGCGAGACTATTAGAATAAGAATTAGAATAATAATAGAATAAGAATAGAATAAGAATTAGAATAATAATAAAACAAGAATTAGTATAAGAATAGAATAAAAATTAGAATAAGAATAGAATAATAATAATGTTAATAATAATAATAATAATAATAATAAAACAAGAATTAGTATAAGAATAGAATAAGAATTAGAATAAGAATAGAATAAGAATAAAACACATATTAGAATAAGAATAGAACAAGAATTAGAATAATAAAATAAGAATTAGAATAAGAAATAAACAAGAAAGAATAAGAATAGAATAAGAAACTATTAGAATAGAACAAACGGTTGTATCTAGCTAGTTCAGTCGTAAAACGGTGAGACCTAGTTGCCAATCTAGTAGCAAGCTTAAATTCATGAAGACGACTCACCAAAGAAGAAAGCACACCAGAACAATTTCCATTAAAATATTTGTAGAAAAGACAGAGGGTAGCCACGTAACGTCGATGAGAAAGTGAATCTCGAGATGTATAACAGGAGACCAGATATGGCAGCCGTATTCATTGCACGGACGTTACTAATATATAATATCGTACATTGAGTGCTGGTGTTAAAAAAATAGTGCTCGATGCAATATAACAGAGCAATAAACTATATATTAATAATATATACATTTTTTCCTCACCGGTAAGCATGACACGGAGTTTCATGCACAACGCAATCATCAGGTGCCGAGTTCTCTCAGACCTCAATGTAAAATATTGATAGAAAAGAAAAGCGTGGTGTGAAAGTGACTTGAGATGAGATGCCAGGACAGGATCAATAACATTGCTGATACATCTTTAGATTTTATCAAGGATCTGTAAATATGCAACAGGAGCACCAGACCATATGTTGTAGCATAGCTACGGACGATAATGGGTATGTTTCCATTCACATAAATACAGTAGTAAATACTGTATGTTGGTCTGCAGTCGGAGATTCGTCTCCAGCTGTACTGGCCAAACTCTCTGCATCCTAGATGAGGCTATGTCGAAGGGCAGAGTCTCATTTCAGGAAATAGCTACCCGATACCGTTTTATACGGGGTCTACGGGGAAATTTTGGTCAAAACTACGGGCTCGGATACCCCACATTAAATTCGACCTTCTGCCACATCTGACCACCTAGTGGGGGTTGGTAGATATCCTGCAGTTGGAGATTCATTTCCAGCAGTGCTGGTCAAACTCTCTGCCTCCGGGCAGTGAGGATCCCCAGACAAGGCTATGTCGAAGGGCAGAGTCTTGTCTCGGGAAACAGCTACCCGACCCCGTTTTCACAGGGTATACGGGGAATTTTTGGTCGAGCCTACGGGCTTGGATTACCCCACATTAAATTCGGCCTTGTGCCACATCTGACCGCGTGGGGCGGTTGTCAGATATCCTTCAGTTTGAGATTCGTCTCCAGCTGTGCTGGTGAAACTCGTCATTTTCGTTTATGATCGATTTCATCACGATAATTCTGTTAAGCTTGGAGAGTAATTATACAATCTTATTGCTCAAAGTAGAGTCAAATAGTGTTATAAAAACCTCAGAGAATTCCAGTAAGATATCTTTAATCATTTCTAAGATACAACGGTTCAGAGCTTAATCAAATAATTGTACAATTTTGCTGTTACACGATTTGGCGAATATATATATATATATATATATATATATATATATATATATATATATATATATATATATGTGTGTGTGTGTGTGTGTGTGTGTGTGTGTGTGTGTGTGTGTGAAATAGGCAGGTTGGTTAAAACAAGAGCAAACGAAAGGGTACCAATATAAACAGTACGAAATTAACCAACGTTAATAATTATTTATTAACCAACCTATCTATTTTACATATTATAAGAAGCGTACGTGAACTCTTTCTTCTAATTATATATATATATATATATATATATATATATATATATATATATATATATATATATATATAAGCAATTGTCAGGCCGTATCTGAATGGGAATATCTTACGTGACCTGGATATTGCGTTCAGACTGTCGCCATACAGTCTTGACCTCAGTAACCACTTATATCTGAATACCTGCTATCCCTGATATTGAGCAATTTTACCTATAAAAATAGCATACCTTAAAACTATATTTTGTTTATATATATATATATATATATATATATATATAGTATATACATGCATAGGATTGGTGCTATATATATATATATATATATATATATACGGAATAAATATATATAACCAAAATATATATATATATATATATATATATATATATATATATATTGCCTACTACTTCAAACCTTCAGTTTTCCGGATTCTCATGTTTGAGTAGATACCATGTTTTTTAACAGTGTGCATTGTGTTTACAGGCCTATACATTCGAGAGACTTAATAAAAAGGATGAGAACTTCGACAAGAATCGAACCTGCTAACTCGCTATCTTTTTTCAAAATTTGAATGGATTTCTTTTGTAAATCATTAGCAATGCATTTAGATTATATATATATAATTCGATCTTAGAAATCAGAAAGAAACGGATTGTCAGTGGCCAGGAATTGTGAGCGTTGCTTATAAAACAGGGCTAATAATATGTATAATTATTAATTGATACTATTAATTGATTGTCTCGTTATATTGTGAATGAATTTACGATAGAAATGTATTAAAAAGAATTTCACCGGTCAGTAATTAAGGCAACCATCACTAACAGAAGAGTGTTATTATATTTATAGAAGTGCATTGCTAATGACTTTACTATAGAAAATATCGCAAAAGAGTTAATAAGAATTTTACTATAGTAAAATGTTGCAAAAAGTTATTAATGATTTTAGTATAAAACTATATTGAAATCAAAGAAAATGTTGATTGAAAACAGACTTTAAATTAAAGTGTTTCTGGCAATATGAACAAGAGCTTATTTGCAAGAACGGTGAACTATGATTGAGAAGAGAACATAAGATTTAATCATTAGTGATTTAATCTACAAGATTAAAGCATTTATGAAATGATTGGCTGATTTAGAATAATTGACCAAACTGAGAGGTTGAATTTACATTAAAATAATGAGACCCTTTGCAGTTGTACGCCATATTGTAGCGACAGATAGATAGATAGATAGATAGATAGATAGATAGATAAGCAGAATTAATAGATAGCTAGATATGAACAGAATTAGAGTGATAGCTAGATATGAAGATAATTAGATAGAAAGATATGAAAGGAATGAGATAGTTATACATGAACATACTGGGATAACTAGCTCGGTAGATGGATAGATATGAACAGAATCAGATAGAAAGATATGAACATAATGGGATTGATATAAATACATACATGCATACATAGATATAAATAGAATGAGATAGATAGATAGATAGATAGATGGATAGATAGATAGATAGATATAAACAAGCCGTGATAGATAAATATAAGCAGACTGTGATAGATAGATAGATAGGAACAGAATGAGAAGAGAGATGAATAGATAGATAGATAGATAGATAGATAGATAGATAGGTAGATAGATAGATAGATGATAGGAACAGAATGGGATAGATAGATAGATAGATAGATAGATAGATAGATAGGAATAGAATGAGATAGATAGATAGATAGATAGATAGGAACAGAAGATGATAGATAGATAGATAGATAGATAGATAGATAGGAACAGAATGAGATAGATAGATAGATAGATAGATAGACAGAATGGGATAGATAGATAAATAGATAATAGATAGATAGATAGATAGATAGGAACAGAATGAGATAGATAGATAGATAGATAGATAGATAGATAGATAGATAGATAGATAGATAGATAGAGGAAGAGAGAGCGAGAGGGCGAGAGAGAAAGAGAGAGAGAGAAGCACTAATACACCCTACTGTGTGTGTGCCTTCGTACAGCTGCACCTTATACGAATTAATGCAGCTGACTGCATACCACTCCCTGCTATTGTGCTGTGTGTGCGTACGCCATGGCTGCTCTTTCACTGTAACTTGTTCTCTTAGATCACATGACTGCTACGTCACCAAGCAATGTCCCACTTAGCAACATATACAATATAAGTACTTTTAAACACACGTGTCAAGTGTACTTTTACGGCTATGTGCAGTTGGTAGCAGCAGGCGTTAGCCCAATGATTGCGACTCTGTGTCAGTGTGTGTGCCTACAGTTCGTGGCTTAGAAGCGAGAGAAACACTGAAAAGATCATACCGACAGCCCAGCGCTCATTTCTGCAGTGTGTGCTGTACTTATTTATTTTGCAAGTTGCTAGCTTACCCCCACCATCCACCCGGTCGATAACGGGTACCAGAAGGGGTAGTGCGACTTGTACATTTAATAGGCGGGGTCTCCCAATGCAGAGGTGCAACTTAGCTTCTTTTTTTTTTCTTTTTCTATCTTTTCATCTTTCTTCAGTAGCTTTTCTTTTGCATCTTATGTAGATAAACCTATTCGTCCGCTGTGTGTAAGATGTATCGGTACAAGGCTGGCTCGCTTACCATAGGGAAGGCGCGTGGTAGGTGAGAAGGTAAGCAATCATGTCTTATCGGGTAAAGACATTTAAAAAAAAAATTTTACAGTTCGAGGAGTAGTTGAAAGTAACTGACACAAAATAGTTGTCAATAATGAATATTTGGCTAACAAATAAAAAAAAGGATTTTACAACACTTTGGTCTTATCTTCTGACACACTACCGAACAATGTTAAAAGAAAAGTACGTTATATTATATACTAGCTTAAAAGCCGCCTAATCGGGCGGCATTTACTCTAGTTTCTGTGGAGGGCTTTTCATTGAGCCTTCATCACAATAGGAAGGGAGTTGTAGATGCGATAGGCAATAATAAATTATACAACTTAAAATTGATCACTGCATTTAAGTATTGTATTAATAGTTAAGCTTAACTCTTAAAAGTTCAAAGATAATTCTTTTGTCGCCACTTAATTTAAAGACAATTTGATGTACGTAGGTCCTTATTTTCCTTACAAACAATTATTTTCATTTCATGAGTGACTTTCGCAGCATTTTGTAATTAATTTCGATTATTCCCAGATTTATTTTCAAGTTATAAAAAATGTTATCGTACAAAAAAATTCGTCGCAAAAAAAATCACGTAAAAAATCGCCGAAAACAATTTCAGTAATGAAAACTTGGGAATCCAAAATTTCAGGAATGCAGGTCTGGATCTGGATCCTGATCCGGTCCTGAATGTTTTTTTTATTGCTCACGGAGTGAGCAATAAGAAAAAAATAGGCTGACAGCGTCAATAACCGGAAGATCCTTCACAGAGACTGACTCACTGGCACGCAACCGAGACATATGAAGGAAGCTGGTCAGGTGCTCAACTGTTTGTTAATCCGATTTAAAAAAAAAAGAAAGAAAGAAAGAAAGAATAAGCTTCCTGTGAAACTCGAAGATTCAATCCTATTTTCTCAGGAATCATTTCATAAAGCTACCGAATAATACGATCACCGAAGTTAAGCAACGTCGAGCCTGGTCAGTACCTAAATGGGTAACCACTTGAGAATACTAGTTGCTGTAATCTTGGATGTGTAGATAGACATAAACAAGTCGTGATAGATAGATAGATAGATAGATAGATAGATGGTGGTGTAATGGAAAATAGCCCGGAATTGTTAATCACAGAGCCGAGTTCCAATTCACGTTAGGTTCGTTGCTTTCACTTAAACGCAAACATTCTTAGGAAAGCTATAAATCTATCACTTCTCCCCGACCTGTCATGAGTGAATCAGTAAGACTTGTATTACCAAACAATTATTATCTAAAAAAAAAAAAAAAAAAAAAAAAATTTTAAAAATTACAATCTAAAAATATTTTCTGGCTTTAAATAACCTACAGTGGATTGATAAGCCGTCGAAAACGAATCAATAAAACAGTTATTTGAGGTCTGGAATGAATAGAAATTCGAGGTAAGATGTCTCATTGAGAGTATATCTGCTCCTCAGGTCCGGTGAAAATTTCGGGTCAACGCGATGAAACGTTACTAGCATTGTTTTGGAGGTATTGAGCTGTGAGAGGTAGATCAGCGGAGAGATCAGCTGCGAGGCTCTGGTGATCTCCGTTTTTGGAGGTACACACATAAACCGTGGTATCGTCTGCTTAGATATTTACTAAAGATATGAGAATGTTCTTGGGCAGATCGTTAATGTAAAGCAGAGATAGGTTAGTTTTTCATTGCCGCCAGATATATTTAATGTGAGCTCAGAAAATGATTAAACCGACGTAGTAACTCAAACTTTGTACAGGTGGACCGCGATCAAATGAAAATTTATAAGAGCCCTACACTGCAACGTAATCGCTAAACAGAATCAAATGGAACAAACGTCCCACTTGGCAATACAGTGTAACCCGGATATAAGAGAGTTGTCGGGACCGGAAAAGAAGTCTCTTATATCCGGGTTTGGTCTATTTTATATACATTAACACAGGCTCTAATTTGGGACCAGAGAAAATCTCTCTTATATACGGGTTTCTCTTATATCCGGGTCTCTTATATGCGGGTTACACTGTACAAAAATAAACGCGCCAGTAATAAATAAACGAGATGGACAAGAATAGGGTCACGCAGCCAGCATTCACCGATATTCCGAGGACGGTGTAAACGAACACCGAAATATGTGATTACCCACTATTTTTGCTTGTTTATTGAATATTGATTACCTCCAAGGATAAAATGCCTTTTGGCTTTAGAAATAAAGAAATACCTGACACACGACTCACCTATGTAGGCGTTGTGGTTCTGATTCAAAATAGCGACGACGTACACAAATAACAAAAACGAAAACAAAACAAACAAAAAAATTTCATAAATTTCATCAGGACTGGTGTCGCTTATCTAGCTTCTCAAAATGCTCAAAGATTTGCGCTCACATTTAAAAATACATTGTTGATGACGTCACTGCGTCTAGACTTTTGGACAGCGTTTCTATTTTTTATCCTCTGCTCTGCGCACTGTTAATCATGGTAACAACTAATAACAATTTTAAAATAATTTCCCCACCTAACTTGTTTACGTACATTAGTTGGTAGAGACGTCTGATATATTTTCAAATCGGTATCACCCCCATGCAAGGCACTAAAGCCACTAAGATTACATGGTGTGGAAGAATTAGGAACAGAAACATTAATAACGAGCGGGAAGAGGAAAGAGTAATCAGAAGGACGGTAGATAGCGATTGGCATTGCGTTTAAATTTTTGAAGATTAAAGTTGGCTGGAAAGCATGGAGCCAGAAGGGAGTTCCACAAGTGAGAAGTGCGAGAGAAGAAACTGTTATCATAGAATTTACGGCTACGTCTAGCCAGTTCAACTGTAAATTGATGAGATCTGAACGTCAGTCTCGTTCTGCGCTTAAATTCAAAAAGTCTACGTCCCCTAGCGAAGAGTGATATTTATTCTGTTCTCTACAGAAATGTGGCACAAGGCCGAAAACGGGATTGGGGAAAGGACGGTCTTCTTCTGTCTTAAGTACAACTTAGCTAGCCGCAAACACTGACCCAGTCGTACGAACAATATTCCTTGCACCAAAACAACACATTCATACGTACCTTTCTTACTACATCCACCATAATACCCTAGCGAAGAGCTCACCCAAACAATTACCATGAAAGTATTTATAGAAAAAGCACAGAGAAGCAACCCTACGGCGGTAGCTAAGTGATTGAAGCCGAGACGCCAGATCAGGACCAATAATATTGCTGAATCTTCTCTGGATTTTATCAAGAAGCTCAAGTAAATAGCAGGGACCCTTATGTGGCAGCAATATTCCTTGAGTTATTTGAACTTGTGCCAAAGACCAATAAGCGAAGGCTGATAATGGGGGGGGTAACAGCTTTCTCTTATCACTGTCGAGGAAGGTAAGCGCTTTATCAGTGACTAACTTAATTAATTATTCACTCATGTCCCTTCTGCGTTAATCACTGTAAAATGGCAATAATAAAAAGTTTTCATGTCTATATATTGGGTTGGTGCATAATTATCAGGCGTTTTTGTAGGCGAGTTATTTGTTTACATTTTTTTTTAAATAAAGATATTTTATTATTTTCAGGTTATAAAAAAGCGTATCGATCATAATTCCAATCCGGAATAATCATTTGAAAATGTTATTTAAATTTTTGTAGATTAAATCTGACTAGAAACCAGGGAGCCGGAAGGGAGTTCCACAAGCGAGAAGTGCGAGAAAAGAAACTGTTATCACAGAATTTATGGTTACATCTAGCCAGCTCAACTGTAGAATGATGAGATCTCGATGCCAGTCTAGACCTGCGCTGAAATTCAAAAAGTCCAGATGTCATAGCGAAAAGCTCATCCGAACAATTACCATGAAAATATTGATAGAAAAGACAACGTTACGGCGGTGAGAAAATGACTGAAGCCAAGATGCCACATCAGGACCAATAATATTGCTGATTCTTCTTTGGATCTTATCAAGCAGCTCAAGGTAAATACCAGGTGCGCCGGACCACATGTGGCAGCAATATTCTAAGCAGAGACGAATGGTATTATAGATATCTAAGATAGAATTTTGAAAGAAAAATTTTCTTGCAAAACACAGTGAGCCAACTTTCTTAGCATCTGATCTATAAATAGATTCAATATAGTCTTTTAACTTCATGTCAGCAGAGAACGTTTACCAGAGAAGGTGCAATGAGTCACGTTTCTGGAGGTTAGCATCAGCCATACCGATGGAAGGCAGGGAGGGAACTCTCAGATGATTAATGGAGAGAATTTTAGTTTTGGAGTCATTAAAATTAACAAGCCATCTTTTGGCTTATATATATATATATATATATATATATATATATATATATATATAGTTAAACTTAGAGAGCCAGACAAACCTACCAAGGTTTCACCTAAGCGGATCGTCAGGGAAGGCTAGCTAAAAAGGTAAAGAAAGAACGCAAAGTTTATAGTCAATAAACAAAAAAAACATAACCACGTGACCAAAATAAAAAAAAAAGGAAAAAAAATAAGAAACTAAAAACAAAAAAAAAAAGGTGAGGGTTGGGGAGAACCATTTAGTCTAAATGTCGAAAGAGGGAGGTGGCGGTTTAAAGAGAAACACGGATACACGGTCTGTTCTACTCACTGTATTGAGCACTTTATTTAGTTATTTTGCCTACTCGTATCGGATTTTGTTTCTTTGGGCCTTTGACTTGAATGCAAGACGATTATTTTCAGTACATGTTCTTGGTTCTTTCTTTTTTTTATACCTTTTTTCCCCTTTGGTATTAGTTTGATTACTTAATCAAGACACCGAAAGTTTTCGGGCGAGTATAGTTTCTTATACTTATAAGATTTTTATTAATAAATAT